GGGACGGGGAGATCGGTTGAGAGAGCTCGCCGTTCCAGAGAACTCTCATCCTGTTCTGCACCACACAGGTCATAACACAGTTGATCCAGGAACTGGGGAGGCCTACTTCCTTCAAGGTGTCCCTAAGAAAATCCCATCTCAGTCTATCATACGCTTTCTCCAAGTCAATCTTGAAAATCATTCCTCCTTTCTTGCCCCTCTTCCTCTCCAGGGTGTGGAGGACCTCCTGCACTACAATGATATTATCTGTAGTTTGCCTTCCCGGAATGAAGCTGCTTTGCCTGGGGGAGACCAACTTCTTCATGAGGGGCTTGAGTCTACTGGTCATAGCTTTGGTGATGGCTTTGAGGCTGACATTGTTGAGCGAAATGGGTCGGAGCTGGGTGACCCTCTCAGGAGTGTCCACCTTCGGGATCAGCACTAGGGTGGAGTCCGAAATGCTATCCGGAAGAGAGCCTGTAGCAAAAAAAGATAGAGCCATATCCGCAAGCTTCTTTCCCACAATTGCCCACATCTGCTGGTAAAAAACTGCATGAAATCCATCCGGCCCAGGAGCTTGAAGGGGCTTCATCTCGAAGATCGATTTATGGATATCCTGGATGGTAAAAGGACTCAAGAGCAGCATCATCTCTGAATGACCTAAGGAGGGGAACGCGTTTAGAGGCAGCTTGTCTTCATAGGGGAGGTCCTCCTGCAGGAAAAGGTTAGACACATAATCGAAAACTAAAGAAGCCAGAGTTTGAGGATCAGTCACCCAGTTTCCATTTCCGTCTAGGAGAGCTTCAATCTTATTCCTCCGTCTTCTGATGTTGACAAGTTGGTGGAAATAAGCAGTATTACGTTCCCCAAATTTCACCCACTTGTCCCTGGAGCGCTGAAACCACAGGATTTCTTCCTGCTCAAGGATTTTGTCCAGCTCCATCTCAAGCTTTGATCGGAGCTTGGCTAAGCCAGGAGAGAAGGAATCCGCCAGCCTGGTATCGACACCTTTGATTCTAGCCAAAAGCCTGCTCTTCTTCCTGTGGATACTGCCGAAAGAGAAGGCATTCCATTGCTGCAACTTGCTAGCGAGAGTAGTCATTGCGTTGGGGAAAGGCGCATCAGGATCCCAGGAAGTCGAAATAGTCTCACGCAAGCTGCCATCCGTAAGCCAGGCGGCCTCGAATCTGAAGGGCCGAATAATGTTGTTGCCGCCAGCTCGAAGGGAGATAGAGGTCAGCAGGGGGACGTGATCCGAATGCAGTCTGGGGAGATGGGTAACCGTGGAGTTTGGAAACATTTCATTCCACCGCAGGTTGCAAAGGCTTCTATCAATTCTGCTTGCCTTGAACGTGTGCTGCCGGTCCCCCCTCGTCCATGTGAATCTTGAACCAGAGAACCCCAAGTCAATCAGCTCTGCCCGGTTAATGCGATCATTGAAAATGCGACATCTCCTCATGGTAGAAGCCGTAGGAGAACCAGAACTCTCTTCGGGACTGCTGATAGCATTGAAATCTCCAGAGAGGATCCAAGGAAGGTCAATCCACTCGCTTTGCTGGATGAGGTTGTCCCAAAGCAGACGCTGCTCACTAGGGCGGGGGGACGCATACACAGCAGTGAGCACCCAAGGCTGCTTGGCAGCTTCCTCAATACGCAGGGAAATATGCTGGTCGCAAGCGGAAATGAGCTGGGCTGAGAATCTCTTGGCATCCCAAAACACCCAAATGCCCCCGCTTCTCCCATTCGCTTCCACTCGGATGGAATTCGGATACCCCATTCTATCACACGCAGTATTTGCAGCCGTGCCGCTGATCTGAGGCTCCAAGAGAATAACAAAGTCAGGCCGGTAAGACTGAAGGACGAGCTTCAGCGAACGGACGAAAGTTCTGCTTCCGGCTCCCCCTACATTCCAGGCAAAAATGCTTAAATTAGAACTAATAGACAAATCCATGATATAACGAACAAGAAGAAAAGGAGGGAGAGGGGAGGGGAAAATCAAAAGAGAGGGTCTCATTGGAAAATGGTGTCGGTCACGGCCGGTCTTGGGTCGTGCGAAAATCCTTCCGTCTGCGAAGTGGAACTTCCCCCCACGAGCTTGTCCGGCGCCTCCTTGGCAGCATTCGTCCAGGCATTGATCTCCTGTAAGGTGAGGGTCGCGATTCTGGCTCTCGATTTGGTTTTGCGATCTTTCTTCGGTGTCCAGACTTGCAACCCTTTCATCGGACTGAGTTTGGTTGGAGTTCTCCGGAGCTCTGTCTTCCGAGACTTGTTTTGTTTCGTCCTGGCCTTCGCTGATGGAGTCTGGGCGGATTTGGATCCCTTGTCCTCTTCCTGTGAAGGTTGAAGATTGACAATCTGCATACTTGTTCCATTTACGCCCGTCACCGTTTGGACGGAAGGAGGCGACGCTTGGCCTTTCAAGATCCCGACAGCTAACTCCTTCGCTGGGAGTATTGTTTTCGGCAGAGGCTTTGTCTGATCTTTGGGCTTCGAGTTGGAAGTGGTCTTGGGCTGGCTTTTGGTCGAAGTCGAGGCTTGGGCCTGGTCGGCCTTGAGCTTTTGACCATTTCCAAGAACCGGGCTATCTTCTGGAATAGGGCCCAAGAGACCTTTTCCTCCAACCCTAGCCACGGCTGAAGCTGATTCTTTTCCTTTTTTTTCCCCTGATTGTTTCTTCCCTGTCCCGCCTTTCTTATCTTGAGTGGATGTCCGTTGGGGTGATTCTGAGATGCTCGGCTGGGAAATCGGGGCTGCCCTTCCACTTTCCTTCTGCGAACCCTCTTGCTTTCCTTGTTTCGTTGCCATACTGCCGTTGGAATTTTTCGAGGAAGTTTCAAGTTTCCCTTTCAGTGATGGATCCCGCGAATTCCGCCTGCTCTTGCGGGTTACGAGCATCCAGGGCCCAAATCCCGCCGTCATTTCCTCCCCTCCTAGTTCTGTCTCGGTCGCCGGAGTCTCACCGCCGGTGATGGCTAATGTCGACGGAGGGGTTTGTAGCCGCAGCTTGGGACAGAGCAGGGAAGAGTGCCCAATTCTCCCACACTCAAAGCACACCTCTGGGAGATTTTCGTACTCGACCTTCTGCCAGGCATCGTCCAACCAAATCCGAGGGACCAGAGGCTTGGACAGATCTACTTCCACAGCTATCCTAGCAAATTTCGCACGTTGTAGAGTCAGAGTGTGGAAGTCCATACGGATCGTTCTTCCGAGGAGATTGCCGAGAGAGGTCAGGATTTCTTTGTGATAGAAGTGAATTTTCAGAGCCGGAAACTGAACCCAAACGATCATCTTTCTCGGGAGTGGATCAGAAACCTTGAAGCTCGGAGACCATTGCTGAACTGCCAAGTAATGATCAAAAATTGTCCAAGGACCATCCGTAAGGGCTCTGAAGTAATCCTGTTCATTGCTGAGTTTCACTAAAAAGCAGTCCTGGTCAAGATCCATGATCTCCATAGTGCCTGTTGGTCTCCATAATCCACGGAGTCGGGAGCAGAGAGTATTGAATCCAATAGTAGTGCCAAGAAGTCTAACCACAATCGTTCGGTGCCAGGGGGCACAGATCTTGTCTTTGAAGGTCGATGAGATATTGAGAGCCGGCTCTCCGTTTCGGCTTCCCGGTATCAGATCATTTTCGCCCACCGGAGTCCATTGCGATGCCTGATTTGATAATGGTACGTTGGGTTTCCACCCCCTCAGCGCCGATGCATAGGAGAATTGTGCTGTCGGCCCGATTTGTGACGGAGATTCATGCGCTTGTGTCGTTTCCTTTTCCATGACCGTGGCCGTTTGATCAGCATGTTCGATGTCTCTAGGTAAGGTCCCAGCACCAGCGGAGGCATCGATGATCATATCAGTTGCAGTAGCTGTGGGCGCGTTGTCGGTGTTCGATGAGGTAAGGTGCGAGATGGGGTCCGGCGGACGATCCGACGGGAGGAGTGCCTGCGGCGGAGCTGCGGACGGCGTTCCTTCTAGCGGAGTTGAGAGCATTTTTTTGATATTATGATCTATAATTGTTATTTTCATGTATATTTTTCACTGTAATAGTTTACAAATCTAAAACATGCATTCCTGCCTAAAGAGAACACTATTATTACATGCAATAAAATGTCCCGGTTCGAAGCGCGGGCTTCCATTCCAGTAATTCAAACAACTCTTGTCACGTTAGGTGACAGAACACCTAATACCAGTTCATTCACGCTATTTTGTGCTCATTCACGTCATTTTGTGTTCATTCACGTAATACTATGGTGATTTACGTAAGAGTGTAAGTTTTTCACGTAAATGGAAATTCATACTTTTTCCCTCTAATAATTTGTATTGGCTATACTTTATGGAATTAAATTTGGATTATCATTTAATCTGTAAAAATATGTTGCATTTATAAAAATCTACACAATGACATCCATTTTGATATATTTCAAAGTTATAAAATTTTATTTTACAACGGCGTGAATAATTAACAATATGCGTGAATAAACATCAGGTGGCGTGACCTAACAGTATTGGTTGCGTGAATAATCAACACTTTTACATAAATAACATAAATACAACGTGAATGAATATGGCGTGAATAAATAAAAAGACAGAAACAAACAAATGACTTTCCCTGCTATTATGAGTTATGACACCTAATTCTGATCGATTGATGCCGATTACTTCTCTTTTAGCTTGTAACCCACGTTTGGTTTTTCTTCTATTTGGCAGCTTGTGTTGGACTGTTGGTGCTCACTTCCTTTAAAGGAATAAACTTTGCTTGCTCATTCTTGGGGTAAAAACTATACCTCTTAGAGTTTGTAGAGTTCAATTAAAAAATGATTGTTTATGCATAATTCATTGCTGCAAAGGAAGACTACGGAATACCGGCAATCCAAAAACCCTAATCCTTATAATAACAGAAGTTCATCGACCCACTTTAATTAATTTTGTCCACGGGTTCCTCCTTCCTTCACTAGTCCTTATGGGACAAGGAGTAGGTGCTTTTCCTAAATATATAACAACCCACCAACCGGCCTCACCCTTCAAATCACAGCTCTGGATAACGAAAAAGACGATCTTTCTCATAGGAAATCAAATCTCTCATCTCTCTGTTTTTTGGGTGCGTATTCATCATCATCAGTGGTTGAAGATCATGTCGTGGCAGCTGCCCAGATACACTCTCTTCACGGACAAAACCCTGAGAGAGCACAACGCGAACCCCAAGCGATTCGCAGACGACGTCGCCGAAACCGAAAGGGTCAACTCAGAATGGGACACGGACGGAGGCTACGCCAAGCTCATCCACGAATGCAGAGCAGCCGCAGCAGGGGACGAAAACAGGGCCGAGGAAATCCTGTTCGAAAGACTCGCCGACATGGCCGCAGCCCGCTGGATCAAAAACCTCGAAGAAGAAGAAGAAGAACAAGAGGAAGAGGAGTGGCGACGTGCTGAGGAGGTGGAAAAGAAGAGGAAACGGAAGATGAAGGCGGCGGCGGTGGAGGAGGATGAGGAAGAAGAAGAGAGAAAACAGAGGAAGAAGCAGAAACAGAGCAAGTACAGGGGAGGACCAGCAGCAGCGCTGATCAAGAACGGCAGAGTCGACTTCTCCGCGATCGAGATGGACCCGCCGCCGCGCGAATTCGGGGAGTGGATAAAGCGGCGGCACCCGGGCGTTGGGGAAGTGAAGCTGGTGATCATGAAGGGGCTGTTCGACACGGATCTGAGCGTGGGCCACAACCGCCTCTCCGTCCCGGCGAAGCAGATCGTGGACGCGGACTTCCTGACGGCGGATGAGGTGGCGCTCCTGAACGAGAAGAGAGGGGAAGGGATCGGCGTGAAGCTGTACGGGCCCGGGGATGGGGCGGGTTACACGGAGATGGTGTTGAAGAATTGGGAGCTGAAGAAGTCGAATTCGTACGTGCTGAACAAGGGGTGGATGTCGCTGGTGAGGAGGTTCCCGGAGGTGTTTCAGAGGATGGCCATCGTCCAGCTCTGGTCGTTCCGGGAAGCGGGAGGGGAGCTGGCGTTTCGGATCACCAAGGTCGGGCAATTGCCCAACGATCGGGCCTCCGGGTCGGGATCCAGTGTGAAGAGTGAACCCGGGTCGGGTTCGGATGGTGGTAGCGATAGCGATGGTGGTGGTTTGGATTTGGAATATGAGTTGGAGGAGGGTGAGGTGAGGCCGGAGCGGCGCAGGCCGAGGGTGTGGCGTGGATCGTGTCCGCCGTGGCTCTGAAGCCGTTTCTTTTTGGCATTGCTATTCGTCGTCCTAATTTTTGTTAAAACGACTCTAATGTCCTTTGTTTAATTTTTTGTTTACAAAGCATAGAAGAGAAGGAAAATCTTTTTAAACAATTACTAATCTATCTTGTTGTACCCGTCCCAGCTCGCCAATGACGGGATTTCAACACGTTCAGACGCCGACCAACAAAAAAAAACACAAAAAATTCAATCCTCTGCTATGTTGGTCTTTTTATTCCTTCAGTCGGCGATCCATGCTGGGGAATAACCCCATTTAGAAATCGTTGCCTCTGAGTTCAATTTCACTGGAGCCAAGACTTGCCTGGGCTATTTCTCTCTTTGGTTGCCTTCTTCTTGTCGAGTCATCTGCTCCAACCTCAACTCCTTCCTTGTTATTTCCTAAACCAACTATAATTCCCATCTTAATTGTGCATAATTGATTCTCTCAATTTCTCTTATTCATTAACCGATTCTCTCGCTAGTTTCTGGGAATCCCAAGCCATCGATGTGTCAAATTTTCCGGACAAGGTTCTCCGACTCCATTTCCACGTTCCCTAGCTGCATCATACTCTGTTTTGGATAAAATGTTCTCTCCTTCTTCTTCGCCCTCCTCCCTCCTCCTCATCGATAGCAACGACAAATATCAGCGGCGGCGGGGAGCGACTCCGGCGGCGGCTAATGATCTTCTTCATCCTCCTTTCTTGGCAATCGGGACCGGACGAGAGCAATTCTTAGATGGTCAGCGGGGAGCAATTCTTGGGTGGCCGGCGGCGACATTTTCCCCCTTTGTGAGTGTCGGATTTTGGGTTTAGGTTAGAATTGAGGTTAGGGGTATATGTGTAGTTTAGGGTGTTTTTTATTATTTTAGGGCGGCGAATAGCGATTCAGTTCTTTTTCTGTTTTTTTTGTTTCTTTGCAAGTTTGGTTACTAGAATTACTTTAAAAATTTACGTTTGTCACTAAAATTAATTTATTCCATTCGCAGTCACTCAAATTAGTTCAACATTTCAAGTTTGTTCACTCTCCGTTAGTCTCCGTTAACTTTAGCTGACATGAGTCAACTTTGAGAGTTGACCGTTAAATAAATGATGTAGAAATTAAAAATAAATAATAAATTTAATCTTTTAAAAATTTCATCTCTTTATCAAATAAATAATAATAATAATAATAATAATTGCAATCACAAATTCATGGGTAAGGGGAGCTCCCCAATCTCTTCCGCTGCTTCTTCTCCAATCTTTCACCTCGCCCAGGCTCCTAGGTAAGGGAGCGATTTCTGTTTCTGGTAGCCATTTGGCATATGGACGATGCAATCAAGAGCTGAGTCGGAGCAAATAGTTAGCGGAAACTATATTTATATTTGGTACCGGGAGGACTAGATTTGGAACCGGATTTCTATCAATCGGTTTGAGTTACTACATGGAGAGATCTTCTTCATCCATGGAGTTGGATTCCGATCTGAGTCTCAAGGCGACGGAGCTGAGATTAGGGTTGCCCGATTACTACGGCGGACGACGAGCTGCCCGAGGAATCACAGGTCAACAGCATATTTCCGACCACCGTATTGACAGTCGGCAGAATCAACAACAAGAGATCTTCGCCAGAAGCTCCGTCCTCCAACGAGTGAGGTCGCTGAGCGAATCAAGTGCGTCCAATGTCGAAGATTGCGCTCCTCCTCCAGTTCCAGTAGGTCGGGGATGTATGTGAAGGTAGGGGTGAGCAACAGGTGGGTTGGGTGGGTTTTGGTCTCAAATTGACCCACCCGTTTACTAGTGGGTTGGAATAATTGTGACCCGCAATCCACCCACATACTTCTGCTGGTTGGGTTGGGTGGGTGGCGGATGGGTGCGGTTGGGTTGCGGGTCGACCCACAAAAGCAATTCTCCAACTAGCAATTAAGAAAGTTGACTAACATTTATAATAAGTTCATAGCAAATTAGTAAGACTGTATCAATAATTTGTGATTTTGATACAATTAATAATGTATAGTTTTCATCCCAATATTTAATGGTTATTAACAATAATCTGCATACCAATATCCAATATGTAATGGATATTGCACAACACAATGACCAATAATAGTAGTCAAAACTATTATTTATTCTCCACCTTTTGAAGTATATGATCAGACTGTAGTGCAGTTCGAAAATATGATGAAAATTCGATACTATAAGAAACGACATTTTTTCATGTAAAAATAGGATGCGGGTCATATGGGTGACCCGCAATCCACCCACCACCCACCCACATAAGTGCGGGTGAGAGATTTACGAATCCGCAATCCACCCACATCAATTACCCACTCCGTGCGGGTCGGGTTATTTGCGGGTGGATCGATATCAATTCGCGGATTAACCACCCACGTGCTCACCCCTATGTGAAGGTGAGCATGGACGGAGCTCCGTATCTGCGGAAGTTGCCGATCATGAGGTGGAGGACTACGGTAGAAATTTATTTTTAATTTTTAATGTTTTTGAAAATGAGGTGGAAACTGTAAAAATTTTAAAAAAATAATTTTTTAATTGTCACATCATACATTTAAAGATCAACTATTAGAGTTGACTGCCACATTAGTGAAAATTAATGGAGACTAACGGAGAGTGACCAAACTTGAATTGTTAAAGTAATCTTAGTGACCATGAATGGAATAAACTAATTTTAGTGGCAAACGTGAAACTTTTTAGTAATTATAGTGAGCAAACTTGTAATTTACCCGTTTCTTTAATGTGGATTCAATTATAGCTAGCTAGACTCTTTTAGAGTTGATTTTCTTTAATTCCCAAGGATAGTTGCACTATCTATGATGTAGTTTTGGGAATATTCCAGGGATGAGGAAGTAATTTTCATTTCTTTTTTACGATCTGTACGTCGGGATAGCAATAGGATAACGCATTTGGTAGTTAAAAAGGCTTTTCTTATTACCTGACATCATATCGTTCCTTCGATATTTTTTCCTGACTTTATATCAGAGTGTAATTTGTTCGATCTATTCTTCAATCAATATGAGATTACTTTTTGTCAAAAGAAAAATTTTTATTTCTTTTTTTTTCTTTCTTTTATAGCATGAGCTAGTATGTTCAGTATCTTATCACTAGCTTCGCTCGCATTATCGGGCATGAGTAGTTTTTTTGCAGAATTGATAATATTCTTTGGAATGATTATCGGATCTCATGTCGATCCGAATGAATCATCCTTTCCATTGATTTAAATCTTTGTCTGCTAGACAAGAGGATAGTAAGTTCTAAATGTTGTCTCGATAGGAAACCGTACATGCACCTTTTAAATCCATACGGTTCAAAAAATCCCGAAAACAAAAACCTACTTTTCGAAACAACACTGCTTCTGCTTTCAGCAGAATGTACAAGTGATTGACTCGCTACGACACAACTCCTAACAAAGGCCAAGTGTAACAAATGAAAGGAACTGCAGTAGGTATGGGATTAGGTGCTAACCCTTATAGGGGTTAGCACCGTGATAACTAGCAAAAATCACTACGGATTATTATAAAATCAATACAACATCTAAGCTAAATCACTACTAATTCAAACTAGTAGTAGTTTTTCCCTTGGTTAGGACGGTGCTAACTATTGTATAATTAGCACTGTAGCCGTTCCCAACTGCAGTATAATGGCTCAAGTAATAAATATCGAATCCACGGGTCTCTAGAGATACTATTACTCAGCTTCAGTTCATTATCTAGCAAACCAGATTAAGATGAAAGAACTAAAACTACACTATCAAACTACAGTTAAAGTTAATCTAATTACAGGTTGGGAACTCACTTAGGTATGATTCCCCCTAGCCACTAGCCAGATTAATGATTGATGATCTCTAACCTGTTTCACTTTCATTCACACTGCGGAGAATCCTTAACTAGACCTTGAGTCTCGAGTCTCGACTAAAGGAACAAGGCCCTCTTGAGTCAATTTCCTAGAGGGACGTATCCTTCTCTAGAACAACCGATCAAGGCGTTCTGAACTAGACTCCCTCTATCGAAAGAGGTTCCCAATCGATACAAAGCAGTGAATCGACCCTCGACTAAAGCAATCGATCCAATACTATCAATCTATGGTGCTCTATTGACCTAATCAGGTATTCGCTCTCATAGGATCAAAGCAGAATCAATAATCTCGACTAAAGCAGAATTGAATCATGAAAACGTGCATAGATTGAATATGAACTCAAGATTATCAAGTAGGAGTACTCATACAATCATCCAATCAAACAAACATAGCTAGGGTTCCTCAAACCTAAGTGAAGGGAAGTTACTCCATAGAGAAGAGAGAGACTGCAGTAAGAATCTTCAGATGATTAGTCTTCAAGTCCGGGCTTGTTCCTCGAGCTTCCAAGGCGAAGAAATCCTCCAATTCCACTCTTAGAATGCCCTCAAATCTCTCTCTCTCTCTCTCTCTCTCTCTCTCTCTCTCTCTATCTCTCTCTCTCTCTCTGGTCATCCCTTGGGTGTTTGGGATCCAAAATCCAGCTCTCCCCTTGCAAAAACGCACAAAACAGGCTTTTAACAGCCTGCGTTCGCGATTCCCGGTCATAATCCCCTGTCGGGTATTTTAGGTGGCGACTGGGGATTGTTGAAACGCACCGTCGGGAGACAGGGGAAAATCCCCGGTCAAGGCGAAGAATCCCCTACTGGGGATTTTAGCATCACGACAGGGCCCCCTTCTGTTTCTCAGAGAAGCCTGAAACCAATTTTCCCCTAGCTTTGATTCTTCGTTTCTCCCTCGTTCGGACTCCAAATCAGGTGCCGTTTGATCCCAGACGCTCGTAATCTCGTCCTCTTTCTTCTCATGACAAGATTACATGATTATATGGTCACAGTCTGAGGTAGAAATCCATTCTTCTTCAAGTCATACCCGAGTTTCTTCCCCCGAGTCGCCAAATGATCTCTGATTGACTTGAAACTTGTGCCTACGCTTTACTTTATGTGTTAGGACCTAAAATGTGACAAAGGAACACAACCTAGCGTAAAATAGGCCAAAAAAGCGATAATGCAAGCTTAAACGATCAAGAAACAAAGGGGAAAACATGTGCAAATATCGAGTCATCAAATCCCCTCACCCTTAACCGTTTGCTTGTCCCCAAGCAAACCTAACTCAAACCAATGCAGCTCTCCAGACCTCTATAGCAACAAACAATCCCGATCGTCGGTAGAGAATTTTCTAGATCATATAGCAGCTTACGAGGTCAACTGGTCTTCTAAGACGTTCCATATCTCTCTCAATGCGAGTACTAGACTCAAGCCAGGATCATGAGAAGCAGTGGAAGTAAGACAATCAGTTCATGGATAAAGGGACTCATACAATTCACAACCAAGGACTCGTTGTACCGGGGTGCTCTTTACTTCATTTCACCGTTGGAACCCCTTTTTCACTTTCTTTTTTTTTTCTTTCTTTTTTTTCATTCACTTAGCGGGGGTTCCAACTGCAGTCTTTTGCACGGTCGACCCTTATTAGTCGAGCAAGAGCAATTTCTGTACACCTGGCGCTCGCCAGGGCACTTCTTTTAACTCCTTTACCTCAACTCGTGTGGAGGGTCAATGAAATTAAGGGGGGTCGGAAACTCTATTCGTGCCCTTAAAAACACATCCTCAACTAGGCAAACTGTTCAACGGGTGGAAGTTTTACTTGTACTAGAGACAGCTTAGCTTTACCTTGTAGGAGTACCCCACTAAGGATCACTAAAATCTCCTCCAAAACCCGATTTTGTGCAATGAACGGTGCCACACACGTTGGGCTTACCCCATGTTTAAGATTTCAATGATTTCGACATGGAGGACCAACTGCTTTCCATTTTCCACATGAGCACCCTGTTCGATACACGAGTCCATAACACAATCCAAATAGAGTCACCATTACCACATGAATTCAACGATCTTAGCTCCACTAATTCACAAAATCAACCGACACAACGGAGAGCTAGATAGGAAAAATCTTATACTTCAACATCCTCCATAGTGCTACACTACCTCCCTAGGTTGCACATTACTATAGAGACTGTCAATTCAAAGCATACTGAGCAGGCAATTTGCATGGAAACACGTACTTGGAGCCCTCAAATTTAAAAATTTGGACAGTGGAATAGGCTCCAAGCACACAAACAGCCAAACATTCACCTGCATACATAATCGAACACCCCCCACACTTAAGCACGATATTATCCTCAATGGAGGAAAGATAAGGAGGGTAGAACGAAGTTACCAGATCAAGGGTGAATGACGGTGGACGAGGCAGGCGGTGCATTCCATGAGGAGAGAGTAGTCGAACCACAAACACCACACAAAATCTCACAAAGGTTGAGTTATTGACTCTAAAATCAAATAACAAAACTGACTCAACCAAGGAGAAAAAAAAAAGAAATGCAAACCGACTGGTTGGGTTGCCTCCCAACAAGCGCTTCTTTCACGTCGTTAGCCAGAAGATGGCTCCTAAGTTTCGGTCCACCCCAAAACCTCCTTGAAGTTGAGGTTCTCGTCGATGAGGTGGAGTCTCAAGTCACGAGCATGTGGTATGACATGTGATGGAAGCTCGTGCACTTGATATGGATGACGTCTCCACCCTCGAGACCTCTTCTTCTCTTCTCTCGTCTCATTGCCCCAAACCATAAATGACAACATCGATTGACCACCATCGCGTCCACCAAGAGGGACTGATGTCGATGTGGCCTTGGTCTGGCAAAGAGACACTGCAAATGGGTCCTTGCTAAGCAATTCCTCGAAGTTTGGTGGAGATATCACATGTAACTCATGGTCGGTGCAAACCTCTTCCACCTCAACTTCGTCCTCGGCCTGGACGCCAATTGCTTCTTCAACCTCCCTTCCTTCTTCATGTGGTATCACCCCTGGGAAAAGATCAAGAACTCCCTCTGCTTCACTTTCATCATCCTCCACAACTTCTTCCTGCACCCTTTCTTGCTCTTCTTCTTCCAACACGGATTGGAGGGCAAGTCGCCAAGCAATTTCTTTGATGAGATCTTCTTGCATCTCCTCACTCATGCCCGCCTCTTCAAAGCTCAATGTGGGATGTGGGAAGGTGTGGTCGGCTACGACAGGACATTCCTGATCATGATCATCACGGGAGCTCTCCGTGACAACTTCTGTGTGCTCCACAATGTCCTTGTAGCCTTCTTCTTCCTCCTCCTCTTCTAGTATGGTAGCAGGAGGGTGATTTGGAGTAGGTTGTGCATAAGATCGCTCAAGATCATTGACGCTCTTCTTAATGCTCAGGAGGATCTCTTCTGTTTCACGATAGGCCTGGGTACAAAGATCCATCCTGGACCATGATCTCTCACTGTCTCGAGCAAACTGCTCCATGTGAAGCCTCAATTCATAGTTTGGATCTAGCTGTGGAGTGTAGCATGGCTCTGCAGAATGGCCCCTGAAGGCCGCCATGGGTAACTCCAGCTCCGATGGCCCTTCTGGTTGTGGGAGAAAGTCTTCTTGGTAATGAGGTTGTTCTTGATTTGCCCAGGGGTTTGATTGTTCTCCGTAGTAAGGGGGTTGGTACTGGAACCCGAATTCATAGTCTTCTCCTCCTTGATTGCTCCAGGGGGTCTCGGGGTAATACCACACGGATGGTGGTGGATACACCCAATGATTGGAAAAGCCATGAGGATCCATGATTCAGATCTGCACCAACAAAAACAAAAACCCCCAAGTGAAAAGCAAGGGTGGAAAAGAAAAGAAAAACGCTAAAATAACAAACTTCTGCCTTTCCTAATAATCTAGAAAGTCTTCAGCAACGGCGCCAAAAACTTGACTCGCTACGACACAACTCCTAACAAAGGCCAAGTGTAACCAATGAAAGGGACTGTAGTATAGTGGCTCAAGTAATAAATATCGAATCCACGGGTCTCTAGAGTTACTATTACTCAGCTTCAGTTCATTATCTAGCAAACCATATTAAGATGAAAGAACTAAAACTACTCTATCAAACTACAGTTAAAGTTAATCTAATCACAGGTTGGGAACTCACTTAGGTATGATTCCCCCTAGCCACTAGCCAGATTAATGATTGATGATCTCTAACCTGTTTCACTTTCATTCACAATGTGGAGAATCCTTAACTAGACCTTGAGTCTCGACTAAAGGAACAAGGCCCTCTTGAGTCAATTGCCTAGAGGGACGTATCCTTCTCTAGAACAACCGATCAAGGCGTTCTGAACTAGACTCCCTCTATCGAAAGAGGTTCTCAATCGATACAAAGAAGTGAATCGACCCTCGACTAAAGCAATCGATCCAATACTATCAATCTATGGTGCTCTATTGAACTAATCAGGTATTCGCTCTCATAGGATCAAAGCAGAATCAACAATCTCGACTAAAGCATAATTGAATCATGAAAACGTGCATAGATTGAATATGAACTCAAGATTATCAAGTAGGAGTACTCATACAATCATCCAATCAAACAAACATAGCTAGGGTTCCTCAAAACCTAAGTGAAGGGAAGTTACTCCATAGAGAAGAGAGAGACTGCAGTAAGAATCTTCAGATGATCAGTCTTCAAGTCCGGGCTTGTTCCTCGAGCTTCCAAGGCGAAGAAATCCTCCAATTCCACTCTTAGAATGCCCTCAAATCGCTCTCTCTCTCTCTCTCTCTCTCTCCGGTTCGTCCCTTGTGTGTTTGGGATCCAAAACCCAGCTCTCCCCTTGCAAAAACGCACAAAACAGGCTTTTAACAGCCTGCGTTCGTGATCCCCGGTCATAATCCCCTATCGGGTATTTTAGGTGTCGACCGGGGATTGTTGAAACGCACCGTCGGGAGACAGGGGAAAATCCCCGGTCATGGCCAAGAATCCCCTACCGGGGATTTTAGCATCACGACAGGGCCCCTTCTGTTTCTCAGAGAAGCCCGAAACCAATTTTCCCCTAACTTTGATTCTTCGTTTCTCCCTCGTTCGGACTCCAAATCAAATGTCGTTTGATCCCAGACGCTCGTAGTCTCGTCCTCATTCTTCTCATGATAAGATTACATGATTATATGGTCACAAGCTGAGGTAGAAATCCATTCTTCTTCAAGTCATACCCGAGTTTCTTCCCCCGAGTCGCCAAATGATCTCTGATGGACTTGAAACTTGCGCCTATGCTTCACTTTATGTGCTAGGACCTGAAATGTGACAAAGGAACACAACCTAGCGTAAAATCGGTCAAAGAAGCGATAATGCAAGTTTAAACGATCAAGAAACAAAGGGGAAAACATGTGCAAATATCGAGTCATCAGTGATCAATTTTGTCCTACAGTTTGCTCTTTTTTTTACTGGAACCTGCGAACTTTATTACTTAGAGGTTGCTATTACATCATCCCGTTTAAGTTGATCAACAATAAAAACTGCAAGTCTATCTACCCAGACCAACCGTTCCTCCCAATGCGTCATGGAATGTGCAATCATGTGAGCTGCCACATTTGCTTCTCTCTTAATATGCTTGTAGCTACCAATACCATAACCGAGCTCCATCATCATCCGCTTGATGTTTCTGATCACAACTCTGGTTTCAATTTCAATGCGATTCTGGCTATTCAGTTTCTGTATCAATGAGAGGTAGTCACTCTCTAAAATCGGATGTGAAACCTGTGTCTGATGGCTTTAATAAAAATTTTATGAAGTGGTTTCCCTTCCCAGTTTAGTACCTCATTACTCATTGTAAATTTGAATTGATACATGATCTGATCCTTAGTAGTTTCTTTCAAAATCAAGATCCAGTTTAGGACTCTAATAACTCCTATGTGTCCCTTCCCTTCATTCTATATTCCTTACCCAAGCTACCTACAAAGATCCTCCTTTCATTAGCAACATCCATATTAGACTAGCTGCAAATGCAATATGTGAAAAGACCCCTCAAACCAAGTCCCCCTCCTCCTCCTTAGGCAAGACAATTTTATCTCATGCCACCTTTGCTATACTTGTATATATCTCTGCTCCATGCCACAGAAAATTTGAGCAAATCCTATGAATTTCCTTGATGACTTTCTTTGAGAGTAAGTAGACTGTCATCCAATATTGAGAGACCAGGAGCAACACTGAAGAAATAATTGTATCCTTCCAACATAAGAGAGTTTACTTGCTTTCCAAGATCTAACCTTGCTTGTTATTTTACCTACCAACTTGCTACAGTCTGCAGCAATGAGGGTTCCATATTGCAGAGGTAATCCTTTCTTAAATTCGAAGCAGGACAAAGTAAGCTTCTTGATGAACTCCTCACTAACTCCTCCAAAATCCACGTCATATGTCGTGGGATTGTTTCTAAGTCCAGAGAGTGTGTAGAAGGTATCCAGAACTCTCTTGACAATTTCCAGGGCAAAAGTTGAACCCTTTAAAGATGAGTAAATCACAAGCAAAGCAGAGGTGGGTTAAGCCTACTGCTTCGCACTGATGGTGGTATGGTAGTATTCTTCTAGTCACAGTCTTGTCAAGTAAAGAAGATAGCACCTACATAGCCAGAGTAAATAGGTAGGGAGAGAGGAGATCTCCCTGCTTCACTCCCTTTCTTGCAGAAAAATGACCAAACAAACTCACCTAGATAGTAATATTCAAAGTAGCATACTTCAAACAAGCTTATATCCATCCAATAAATCTCCTAGGAAATTTCATTCTGTCCATCACACATAAGGAATCTGAAGGCTCTAAATCGAAAGCTTTCATCAAATTCACTTTTACTCCTCATTTGGATGTTATATTCTTCTTATGATAGTTTCGTATTATTTCTTAAGTCATTAGAGTATTATTCACTATTCTATGACCTTTTATAAATGTTGATTGGTTAATACTAATGAGCACTTCTACTATGCTATATAGTATTGGTGCTTTAATGTACAACTTAAAGTTGTACCATAACATTAAATGTATAAGTTTAGGTTGTACCATAAAGCAATTTGTACCATTATGTTATGGTACAACTTTACAACTTGAAGTTGTACCATCACATAAAGGTACAAGTTCAATTTGTACCATAAAAGAATTTGTACAAAAAGTATAGGTACAATCTGAAGTTGTACCATAACGTAAATGTACAATTTTAAATTGTACCATAAAAGCAAACCCCTATAGCACCAATACTATATAGCATTGTAAAATTTCTCTAATACTAATACCTTTTTAGGACAAGAGTACTAGAAGTACATTAATACCTTTTTGGATGGGGGATGTGACTTGTGAGCTGAACTATTGGCCTTTCAGCAATTTAGGGGTAGTGAAGTCCAATTGATAATGGGTCATACTGGTTTCTGCAATCTTTTATGTTTCTTGTCTTTCATTTAGTTCAACGGTTATTTAAAGGATGAACTTTAATATGTATAAAGGTGAAGTTTCGTTACTGTTGCCAAACTATTTACATTTTCATACTTCAAATTTAATTAAATCACAACTTAGTTACTATAATGTACATTTACATTTAGATATCCCAAATTTACTTTTTATGTAAAATCATTAAGCAATTATGTTTGGCATCTAAATTTTATGAGATTTTCGTACCTACAAATTTTTAAATTTACATATCGTTCGAATATTTAGATTTCACTTGAATCCATGTATCCAATCCACCAATCCATGAATCCAATCCATCATAACATAAAAATATAAATTTAGTTTGTACCATGCAAAATGTTGTATCAATCAACTGTAGGAGAATATTCGACCATTTTGGTCTTCCATGAGATTTTTATTTCAAAAAATATGTATGTTATCCATTTGAAATAATAATTACCATTTTTTAAAAGAACATTATATTCGGTGACGTGACAATATATTTAGTAAAATATAATACGATTACATTAAGATAATGATCTGTATGAAGTTTTTGTATGACATTCTATTAACTGTTGCCTAAATAATTGCATTTTGATACCCCAAATTTGATTAAATTACAACTTAGTTACTATAATGTATATTTTACATTTTGATACCCCAAATTTAATTTTAATGTAAAATCATTGAACAATTATGTTTTGATATCTTAATTTTATGAATTTTTGTACCTACAATTTTTTAAATTTACATATTGGTCGAATATTTAGATTTCATTTGAGTCCATGAATATCCACCAATCCATGAATCCAATCCACCATAACATAAAAGTATAAATTTAGTTTGTACCATGCAAGATATTGTATCACTCAACTGTAGGAGAAGATTCGACCATTTTGGTCATCCATGGGATTTATACTTAAAAAAAATATGTATGTTATCCATTTGAATTAATAATTATCATTTTTTAAAAGAACATTCTATTCGGTGACGTGACAACATATTTAGTAAATTATAATACAAGTACATTAAGATATTGATATGTATGAAGTTTTTATGACATTTTAATAGAACAATGTTTAAAAAAATCAGCAGTAATAAAAATTATGTTTTAAAAGTTAATATAAGTATAAAAATGACCAAATCTTTCCATCATTTACTTTCTCTTCATTTCATTTTTCACTCACCTTCTATAACTCTTTCTTTATTCTTTCTTTGCTTTATTCATCTAACCCAAATTAGTATACTATTTTTATGTATTCTAATCACAAGTATGAATGGGTACATACATGACTCACCAACAGTCTAGAGAATTTGTAATTGAACTATGCACCACTAACTTTTCCAACTCAATGTCGAGTCCAATTAAAAATAAAAATATATGGTTATTACTTATTAGAAAGTCGTCATTTTCTACTGAGATTTGAAGGCGTGAAATTTTAAGCGAGTTCCAGTTTGTATTCCTTTCGCTTCTCTTTAGAGTTTTTCTTTCTCACCGAACTAGAATTTTCAACAATTATACATGGAATGTTAGGCTAGGTATCTACACATTTCAAATAAATAGTTTTCAATTTTCTATAAAAAAAATGAAATATTTATCATCTTAAATACATCATCATAAGGAATTAAGCCTCAACTATGCAAATTACAGTTCGATACCTAAACTTAATAGATCTTTAGATTTATAACATAAATATGGCATATAAGTCCTCAAAATATTGATGGAACATTTCGTTTTAGTACCTAATTTTTTGTGTATTACATTTTGGTACCTAAACTTTTGAAGTCCTACAAATAAGTCTAATTTTTTAATGTAATTAAAACTCCCTCGAATAAATGAGTATCCATACCCAACTCATACACATTTAGATTATGGAAGTAAATATTCATACCCTACTCAAACCAATATACATACTTCCAAACCCATATATACGTCACCATTCACTTCCATAATCAATGGGTCGACTTGGATTTAGGTAAATATTATTTATTAGCCAAAATTTCAAAAAAAATTGAATTGAATGTTGACCTCCATATATCTCTTCTCAGTCAATATCATATTGTCATCAAGTCAATATTACTAACAAAATTACTAATAAAAACTGAATTTTAGACTAATATTACTAATATAACACCATAACAGACTACATAATACATGTTTATAGACAATCTCCGTCGCGCGACAAGACGCGACATCACTATCTAGTATTATTTATTTAGGGAGTAAAGAAAGAAGTAAGAAAGCATGCGAAATGATGAATGGTGGTGATGAGGTAATGATACCCACAACCGGTGGTGAGTGGCGACTTAAGATTTATACGCAAAAAAAGCACATGTGGGGCTAGCTTGCGTACTATTCTTAATAATGATGATCATGCTTGTCAAACCAGTAATCGATATTGGATAAAGTTATTTGGAGACTATTTTTTACGTTGAATTTTTAAGGATGACATAAATTTGTTTTTATAATTAGATGTTATTTAAGGAGTTTGAATTTGAGACAGATTGAAGGTCTAACGGTATAAAGAGGTAGTTAAAATCGGTAAAAATGGTCAAATTCAAAAAAGAGAATGATATGACCGGAACGATCAATTTTTGGTCACTAAACAAAATGATGTCGGTTTGGTGGAATTAATTAACAAAAAGAAACAAAATTTTTGAATTCAAGTATAAACATTCAGATGTTGATGTTGTCTATTGTATTCCAGTTTAAAAGTTTGGAATTTGACGTTAAATATTGTTCCATTTAAATATGATTTGTCATTTTGTTTGTAATGTAGTATTTTATTTAGATATAGACGGATGTTATAGGTAGATTGTTTCAAGATAGATTATATAAGTGCACAATTCATTTGGTGTTAATGATTTCCCACTTTCTTGTATGTTTTGTTAAAAACAACCAGCATAGTTCGACATATAAACTGGTTCTAACCTGATCAAACCACGTCAATTAATAGACTCATGTAACGGTATAAACCGATTTGACAACATTCATGATGTTGATGCAACAATTATATATCTCTTTATACAATCAATTAATCACTCAATATGGTTTTGACAACATTCATGCCTCTACCATTTTTACATACTACAAAGAAACTATAAATAGCCGTATATTATTAGTATTATTATGCTTTCCATAAACAAAACAAAAAAAAAATCTATTGCGCACTAATAAAGAAGTAAGAGTGAGGATCCGATTTCGAGTAAAACCAAAAAGCCCGGACCAAATAGCCAGCCCTACTTGATACCGCCAAATTAAAAAAAAAAAGTAAGAATGAGAAGTGGCAAAGTGGAGGTAGGAATGAGGATATATGTAGTAGTAGTGCCATGGTCGCATATATTCCAGTTATTAATGAATCGTATTTCTTAATTTATGGTTTTTATTTGTGTAGTTTCATTTTCATATCATATATCTATTGAATTGATTTCCCAGAGAAGCTCCCTCCAATGCTACTGCCATGCACTTGCCCAGCTTCGAGCTCCGCACATGGCTTCCAGCCCTCCCCACCACCTCCGATCCATTACACATATTTATTTACAACTCTCTCTCTCTCTAATGGGTTTCCAATCCAATTATTACCCTTTCATTTCCCTTCCCAAATAATAAAGCAGAAGCAGAGTTTGATCATTGTTTTTATTATATATTTATGTTGGAAGGTAGTTTCAGAGCAGAGAAGATCGCACTTTTGCAATAATTGATTGTTAATAATAGAGAGAGGGATGGACTCTATTTTCCGAGGGAGGGAGGCCAGATGGGTGCATGTGCAAAGCTTCGAAGCAACATGCATGCTGATTGTGCTATCGCGATCTACATTCTCTTTTTTATGTATATATATCTTTTTCGGGCCCAGTTGGGATAAAATAATGTGCCTAATTTGTTCGATCTGGGCAAAGGCAGTGAGTAGAGAAAGAGCTTTCTCATTTGCAAAGACTGGCTAAAGTTTACGAGGTTGGGTTAGCAACAGGAAGCAAAGGAGAAGGAAAATCAGCTAGATTATTTGTAATTTGGCGGTATCAAGTAGGGCTGGTTATTTGGTCCGGGTTTTTTGGTTTTACTCGAAATCGGATCGTATAATTCGGGTCGGGACCGGATAACAAACAGTCCAATCTCATATTCGGGCTTAGATTTGAGGTAAAAAACCGTTCGGGACCAGACCAAAACCGGATAAAAACCGGATAAGAAAGCCGAACACCCAAAACTCCACTAAAATCTCCACAATCTCAATCTAAAATCAAGACCGAATTGAGACCGAACCGGGTCAAAACCGGACTGTATCCAATCCAATCTTTGGTACTTATATTCCCAAAAAGACCGGACTGAGATCGGATCAATTCGGGCCAATTTAACCGAACCGGACCATATAGCCACCCCTAATATCAAGTTAGCTAATAGTTTTGATACGATACATTTGACAGATCTATTCGATGCTAGACTTGATTTATATCAATTATGATCGAAAATCCTAGCTCGATCGTTATAGTGTCATCTCCAAGCGTCATGTGTTCCTAGTAATTTATGTTAATAAATTCATAAATCATGCATTTTCGTTCATTTTTTGTCTATTATTAATGGCTTTGGAAACCTAAAATGCTTTGCACCCGCCGATTTGCTCAAATCTGATCCCGTTTTAATTTATCAAAAACTTATTCCAAGTGGTTCACCAATAACCGAATTTGTTATTATCATTTTACAGTAGTAGCTAAGGCCCCGTTTAGTATTGTTGCCTGTTTTTGTTTCCTGTTGTGTTTTTAAAGATTGGAGAAACCAAAAAAAAAAAAACATGTTTAGTTGGGTTTCTATTTTCTGTTGTGAATCAGAGTTGCACAACAAGGCCCAAATATGAGAAACAACAATTTATTGCTTTGGATCTGATTTTAAAACATGTTGCACATGGGATTCCTACTGGTTGGGCACTTGATTTCATTAAACCAGACCAGTTTTCGAATCCCCACAGAAGCAAAAATTTTTCTTTTTCTTTAACACAGCCGCCACCCCCCAAACCCTACTTCTAACATATCA